CTGTGAGGTGGAATGACCCTGGCTTATTGCAAAGTCTAAAGTAGAACAGGAACAAATGTTTTCCCATTGTATTGTGGGTCTTTTCTAGGCTATTTTTTTGTATTCCACCACCTCATTTAGGTTTCGAGGAGAGGCTGTAATTGAGCTGGGTGTTCTCTGTCCCTCAGCAGTTAGTGAGAAGTTAGAGCAGGGCCATGGGTACAAGCAGTTCAGGTTTTCCATTCCCTGTGCTCTCCCCTGCATTTGTCAATGTCTGAATTTCATCAACCATTATGCTGCCAATTTGTCTCGTTCTGTTCCCAGGAAGTTCATCACAGCCTTCTCTTAGGAAGAGTTACACTAAATAATTTTGTCATCTGTAAATCCTGCTGACCTCATTTTTCTGTTCTACCCCTCATTTCTGCCTTTCTGGATAATTAATGAGTGTATTAAGGACTAACTACAGCCCAGATCCTTGGGACATACTAATATTAACCTCCTACTGAATTGAAAACTGACAGACTAATGAATTAAATTCTGCATGAGAACAACAGTGTTGAAACTGAAAATCAGGATGAGTTGTGATTAAAGCCAAACCCAAAATTCTGCAAGTACAAGCACCTGCAATTTCTACTGAATTTTATGGGTCTTGCGGAAAAAAACAGGCTACTTGAGGAAAACCCCAAACCAATGAAAAAACAGAGGAAATATCATATACCTGTTTCCCTTGCTATTCACAGACTCACTGACTTATCAAACAGTACCCTTAAGCATTTTCCCCCTTACAAAATACTTGGCTAGAAAATCCTTGGAACATCAAAGCTTGTTTAGGTACTTGATCCAGAGGGGACAAGCTATAGAATTTATAGCTAATCAAGCCTGAAGTAAAAGATGAGCAAAGTGAACCAAACTGATGACTACTACAGCTATAATCATGCTGGCAGGACATCCTGCCTTGTCAAAGTCATTTATTTTTTTCTAGATATCAGAAAAATCCTCACTTTCCTCTGACACTTTGGTATAGTATGTGTAATGGACATTTCTGTAAACAAAAAAATATATTTGGAACATCCCCAAGCCACGTAAGAAAGGGCAGTTTCCTAGTGTTCTGTCACTGTTATAAAAACAAGATATTAAAACTTAGATGTGTTATAAACATCAGCAGAACATCTAAAGTTAGTCTTGGAACTATTATACTTCAGCATCTAAAAAAGCGTGTAATTTATACAGCAGTTTTAAAATACTCTAATTAGTGTCTCCCAAGTACAAATCCTGTAGTTTGAACTTTGTACCAGAGATAGAAGAGTACTAAAAATGCTAATGAATATTCACATGCTCTTGAAATGAACTTCCTTCATTCCTGAACATTTTGAGAGATCAAGTTTTCTTAGCACAAATCTTCACAGAAAGTATACAGGTGTAATAATGTGTTTAATAACTTAATAAACTAAACCTATATAACTGAGCTAATAGGCCTTTCCATGGGAAGCCATAAAGATCTTTGGGAAATGTGCCTTGTTTTACTACAGTTTTCCATAGGTTCTAGTCAAAGCAGATTTTGGTTCTGGGTTTGGTTCTGGTCACCACCTGTGCCTCCCTATCTGCCATGAATTTGTCTGTGACATTTTATCTAACCTCTTTATTTGTTACAAATCTGCAGCTGCAAATTCCCATCAAAGACAATTTTTGCTCCATAAATGATATTATTTTTGAGTGCTGAATATTCCATTCCCACGGTAACTCGATTGGTAAGTGGCCTACCTGGAAAAGTGACCCCTGAAAGGAATTTAGGAGCCAAAACAGAAATCAGGTCACTTCAGTGCAATGTGCACAGGAACTGTTATAATTTGTGGTACAGTGCAGCCCCTCCTGCTTTTCCACCAACATTCTACTGCAAGAAGTGATGCCTCTTTTGAAGAAGGACTCATTGTATGTGTAACGCAATTTGTGTTACGTTTTCTCAAGGTTGGCAAGAGAGGTTGAACTCGTTGTACTTATGTCTATATTAGAAAAAAACCTGAATTTATTTTGACTGAAAAAAAAGTAATTTTACTGTTGAAATGCACTCTTTGTAGTGCCAGTATAGATGGAGAACCACAGAGCAAGTCTGAGAGCCTTACTGTGTAGGTACAGAACCCTCTAGATCACTGCCAGTGCTGAGGTAAGTGAGATCAGAAGGCTTCTACATAAAGAGAATGGGAAAAGTAGAAGAGATGATGGGATTTTATGCATTGTTCCATGCTGGTGTTTAAAGCATAAAAAATAGCAAACCCATTCAGAACAGTGTTAATGTTTAAAAAAGAGTCAGAATTATTGTACTTGACTGCCCACGTAAGATTTCTGAGCTCTACATACCATAATTTGCAACCAAGTAACCTTGAAATGACCAAATTCGCTTTTGTTGGTACTGTTAACTAAGTCATTAAACATATTCACATGCCTATTTATAAATTGTATTCATTATTTTCAAGATTTAAAACTACTGTGTTCTCCTAAATTACCCTGATGTATTTAAAGCAGAAACAAAGGTTGGGATTTTTTTTTGTTACTTGTCTCATCTTGTGAATTCTCCTCACTCCTGCATTCATTGAGTTGTTGGGTGAGTAGCTCATTAATGTGATTTCTATCTGTGTCTAAAGGCACAGGCAGCAGCACTGTTATGTAGGAGCTTGAAAAGACAGCTATAAATAACCTCCTTTAATAACCATAAATTTACATTAGAAAGGTAGATAAACTCTGAAGTGAGAAACGTTTATTTTTATCTGATATTACTGTTTCATAATCTCAGTGTTATCAGACTCATCCTGAATAATTTAGTGAGGTCTTGGCGTTTTATACCATCTGGGAAAGTCTTGCATATCGAATGGATTTATAGCAGAGGAACTGGGATTTAAAGAGCTACATCTCTCTTTGGGCCTCAGTCTTACCTGGGACACATTCAAAAACTCCTAGTGACATCCCTGGCAGACTAGACTATATTTGGCCCTCATTTTACCAGTTTTCTAAATACAAATGCTCTTGTCTGAGTAATCTGAAGGAAATCAACCTCTATGGAATTTTAAAGTTTCCTTCCTTGATGCCATTAACTGGCTGTCTTAATTGTGGACATTTACTGAATTTATGCCCTCCTTTGGCCAAACACCTTGGAAGGAAAACACTGGCAGGCATAACCAAAGTGGTCAGGTTTAGAGTTGCTGTCCATCCATCATCACCTCTGCAGGGAACAGCTGGAAGGAAGGCTGAGAGGATGTTGTCATAAAACCTTCAATAGGTGTATAAAGATACAGAAAGTCTAGTAGGGTAAATTGAACATCATTACTAGAGGAGAAAGTGATAAAGACATAATGGAAGAAGGACTGCTGGTTTATGTACTCTGTAAGTCCATGATACCCGTTGTAAAGTAATGCAGGGTGATGCCTCCTCTTGCAGTTCCAGGTCTGTGGGAGGCAGGAGCAGCTGAGCAGGACAATGCAGAGGCAGGAATCTATCCCATGTGCTTCTGGTGGCAGGATCAGTGCCAGGCTGGAGGGGGTTGGAGCAATCTGGTCTGGTGGAAGGTGTCCCTGCCCGTGGCAGGGGGTGGAACAAGATGAACTTTGAGGTCCCTTCCAGCCCAAACCATTCTGGGATTCCATGAGCCTTTTGCTGGTACTAAGGGACACCAGTTGTAATGTTGTTCCTCTGTTGTTGTTTTTTAGGTACCACTTAATATATTGGACTACTTTAACTCCTTCTTTGCCTGAAGTTCCTTTGGTGGAGATACTTTGCAAGGCTCTGCAGACAGCAAACTGAGCAAAAGCCCAGCAAGGAAGGCCATAGAGCCAGTCAGCCAGGACACACACGTAAAGCACCTACTCTGGAGTCAGTGGGGGGTAAGACAGACACAAGGGCAGCAGCAGCCTGACAAGGAGGAAGGAACCTGACCATCTTTCCCAGCGATTTTTGCAAGATACTGTTCTACTCTGCAGCTTAAACACAGACAGCATCAGACAAAAAAGAGGTCCACCACTGTTCTTCTCTAAAGTTACTATTCCCACCTTCTTCCTCCATGTCTACTAACCTGCCCTTTTCATCTCCTCCTCACCTGGTGTAGGCAACTCCCCATCTCTTCCCAACCAGAGCTTCCTCCCTACAGGAACACTCTTTTCATTAAACGTGTCACTATTGCTTGTCAGTCACTCTTTAGCCTTTAAGTCAAATATTATTTTACTTGAGGGGGGACCCCTGGTGGCCTAGTGGTTAGCATGCAGGACTCTCACTGCTGCGACCACGGGTTCGAATCCCAAGTCCCCCGGGCAGATGGTAGCTCGTTAGGCCTGTGAGGCCATCCATCTATGAGAAGGTCACTCTAAACAAACCTACGTCCTGAGGACCTCACTGCCATTGTCCAAGCTTGCTTGGCCCCGGCAGATGAACCTTAGGATTAAAGGGTGGGCTCAGTTCAGCGCAGGCTGTGTCTCACCTAAAAAAAAAATCCATTGCGCAGGCTGGAAAGGTAAAAGACCTTTCCCCAAATCTTCGTTCGCGAAGACTGGCCATTATTATTATTTTACTTGAGAAGTTCATGAGTGTGATAGTGGACAATACTTTTCATCTTTCTACTGTGTGAGCTGTAATTCTCCTGGTTTAATGTAACTGTTCTTACAATTAATTAGTACATAATGTGCTGCTGAAACTTCACAGAGCTGGCCCCAAAATGTTAATACATGAGTACAGAGATACCTACAAGGGCTGTGGTTGGATCTGGTTTGAGTCAGGTTCACCCACTACACTTTAAAATAACCTTCCACACCTCATTGTCGTATTATGTTGCTGAAGTGTCACCTTCTGAGTTGCAGTTACTCAGAGCTGGATTTCTGGAGCAGGTGTGGTGGTGGGGTGTTGGGTTTGGTTTTTTCCTTTTTTATTGGCTTTTGTAGGTTTTTTTGTAGAGAAGTGTTTTAAAAGATTTGAGATTATTCAAACATTTAAAATATGAAATGCCTGAAAATTAAATGTTTTCTTGGCCAGATGGTCCATCATTCTTGTGCCACTCAAATACTTCCCTTTTTTTTAACAAGGATTTAAAAAGATTTCACTGCCAAAAGATCACCTCATGCCATATACTGATATAGGCTTTTTTCTAGCTTTATAGAAAATATATTTCCCACAGAAATTGATTAATTTTAAAGATTTCATTTAAGTATGTCTTGTTTCTTCCTTGGCAGTTGTTTTTTAGATCTGCAGACCAAACAAGTGACCTTGTAAAATCTTTCAGTAATTTTCCCCCTTTTTTTTTCATATTTCAGTAGAAACATTATCAGCACCTGGTGTTTTGTTATTTACTGCCTGTATTTTGATTGCCTCTTAAATCTCTTGAAATCCACCACAAATGGCTCAGCTGCTTGGAGAACAACCATTTATTGTTTGTCTTTCTCCCTCTCACAATTAAGCAGCTCATTAAAGCACTCCCTCTATCGCTCTGTAATCGTATTCTTTGTGACCAAGAGATTTCCATTTGTGTTCTTTATCAGACTTACTCGGGTGTACATTGCGGTGCACGTAAAAGTCTCATATTCCTAGTGTGTCTACCCCATTCCAATTCTCCACCACACCAGGCAACCACCTCACTGACTGGAGGTATTTGCACTGTTCTGGAGTGGGAGGAATGATGTGCTGACTCCATATGGATCTCATCCCTGCATCATGGAAGGCAGAGCAGTGGAGCAAGGATGCCAAGTCAGCCCCTGATGTAACTCCTACCCCAGTGTTGGTACCTCCACTGACCACACAGCTGCACTATCTGCCTCCCAGCCTTCCCTCCTCTCATGCTAAGGCAGTGCTGCAAAGCATGACTTTCAACTTAAATGAGCAGAAAACTCAGTTCATCATTTTACTGTGCCACAGAAATGTTAAGGCAGGAGACACTGAGTTGCACATCAATGACGCCTTATTCTACTCTTACTGTTGCTCTGAAGGATGTGTTGGGTGTTTAAATGCTGTACTTCACTGTCATGTTTCATCAGTAAGCTTTAATGTCCTAAGTGCACTTGCTGGTCCTTATGAAAATCACAGAAGTCTAAGAAGTATTTGAGAACAACAGTAATTTTCCTGCTTCTCCCCCCCGCCGGCACCTGCTTCGGCTCCTCAGCCCACGGCGGCCTGAGGGCTCCCGGAGGAGCCGGGCCCTCCCTCACGGCTCACAGAACCCCAGTGTGGGAGTGGACATGGGATAACCCCTGAGGGGAAAGGCTGTGTTTTTGTGCAGTGGGGTTAAACCCACTGCAGAGGGGCAGTGTGTGGAGGCCAGGCCCTGACGGAAGGTCCCTGCTGTGGGGGAGCTTCCCGCCATGGCTCCATGCCCGGCCTGTGCCTCACACCGTGTGCGCCCACACACACACACCCCTGCTTCTCCTGTACCCCATACACCCCTGCTTCTCCTGTCCCACACACACACCTGCTTCTCCTGTACCCCACACACACACCCCTGCTTCTCCTGTCCCACACAAACACCTGCTTCTCCTGTCCCACACACACACCCCTGCTTCTCCTGTACCCCACACACCCCTCTGCTTCTCCTGTACCCTATACACACACCTGCTTCTCCTGTCCCGCACAAACACCTGCTTCTCCTGTACCCTATAGAATCATAGAATCATAGAATAGGTAGGGTTGGAAGAGACCTCCAAGATCATCAAGTCCAACCCCTGATCCAACTCCAATTACTATATCATGGCACTAAGGGCCACATCCAATCTCTTTTTAAAAACCTCCAGGGATGGTGAATCCACCACCTCTCTGGGTAGGCTGTTCCAATGTCTGATAACCCTCTCTGTAAAGAATTTCTTCCTAACATCCAACCTAAACCTCCCCTGGCAGAGCTTGAGCCCATGTCCCCTTGTCCTATTGTTGGTTGCCCGGGAGAAGAGACCAACCCCCGCCTGGCTATAACCTCCCTTCAGGTAGTTGAAGAGAGTGATGAGGTCGCCTCTAAGCCTTCTCTTCTCCAGACTAAACAATCCCAGCTCCCTCAGCCTCTCCTCATAGGACTTGTGCTCAAGTCCCTTCACCAGCCTCGTTGCTCTTTTCTGGACCCGCTCCAGCACCTCAATGTCCTTCCTGAACTGAGGGGCCCAGAGCTGAACACAATACTCAAGGTGTGGCCTCACCAATGCAGAGTACAGGGGAAGGATCACTTCCCTGCTCCTGCTGGCCACACTGTTCCTGATGCAGGCCAGGATGCCATTGGCCTTCTTGGCTACCTGAGCACACTGCTGGCTCATGTTCAGCCTCCTGTCGATCAGCACCCCCAAGTCCCTTTCTGCCTGGCTGCTCTCCAGCCACTCTGTCCCCAGCCTGTAGCGCTGCAGGGGGTTGTTGTGGCCAAAGTGCAGGACCCGGCACTTGGCCTTGTTGAACTTCATTCCATTGGAGTTAGCCCACCTCTCCAGTCTATCCAGATCCCTCTGCAGAGCCCTCCTGCCTTCCGGCAGGTCGACACTCCCTCCCAACTTGGTGTCATCTGCAAATTTGCTGATGATGGACTCAATCCCCTCATCTAAATCATCGATAAAGATGTTGAAAAGGACTGGGCCCAGCACTGACCCCTGGGGGACACCACTGGTGACCGGCTGCCAACTGGATGCAGCTCCGTTCACCACCACTCTCTGGGCCCGGCCCTCGAGCCAGTTCCTGACCCAGCAGAGAGTGCCCCTGTCTAAGCCGTGGGCTGCCAGCTTTTCCAGGAGTATGCTATGGGAGACAGTGTCAAAGGCTTTGCTGAAGTCCAGATAGACCACATCCACAGCCTTCCCTTCATCCACCAGGTGGGTCACCTGATCGTAAAAGGAGATCAGGTTGGTCAAACAGGATCTGCCCCTCCTAAACCCATGTTGGCTGGGTCTGATCCCTTGTCCATCCTGTAGCTGCTGTGTGATTTCACACAGGATAATCTGCTCCATAACTCTGCCAGGCACCGAGGTCAGGCTGACAGGCCTGTAGTTACCCGGGTCAGCCTTGCAGCCTTTTTTATGGATTGGGGTGATATTTGCCAACTTCCAGTCGTATGGAACCTCCCCAGTGAGCCAGGATTGTTGGAAGATGGTGGAGAGCGGCTTGGCAAGCTCTTCTGCCAGCTCCCTCATTACCCTAGGATGGATCCCGTCTGGTCCCATAGACTTGTGAGGATCCAGATGACTCAGTAAGTCACTAACTATTTCCTCCTGGAATACAAGGGGACTATTTGGTTTCCTATCTCTGTCTACCAGCTCCAGAGGCCAGTTGCCTTGAGGGCCACCTGTCCTACTGGTAAAAACTGAGGCAAAGTAGGTGTTAAGTACCTCAGCCTTCTCCTCATCTTTATTAACTATGTTTCCCTCCAAGTCCCTCAAAGAATGGAGGTTTTCTTTGCCTCTCCTTTTGTTATTAATGTATTTATAGAAGGACTTTTTATTATCCCTAACAGAAGTGGCTAATTTAACTATACACACACCTGCTTCTCCTGTACCCCACACGTACCCTCAGACCAAGGCTGTTTGTCGTTTCCAGCTGGTTTGCAGAGTTCATGTACCACCAAGCTCCTCATCGCAACTTCTTCACCTTTTGCTGTGCTTCAGTCTGACTATTTTTCCTCTAGGACACAAAGAGCGCCAGTAAAGAACTGTTAGTTGAAGGGTATAAGGATATAGCAAATTGATACTTTTATAACCAAGAACCAAGGACCACCAAGATGGTTAAAGGGCTGGAACCCTTCTCATACAAGGACAGGCTGAGATTTGTGATTGTTCAGCCTGGAGAACAGAACACTTTGGGGTGACCTAATTGTGGTCCCTGAGGGGAGCCTACAAGCAACAGGGAGAGAGACTATTTACAAGGTCATGGAGTGACAAAACAAGGGCAATGGCTTCACACTGACAGAGGGCATGTTTAGAGTAGAGATTAGGAAGAAATTCTTCCCTGTGAGGGTGGGGAGGCCGTGGCACAGGTTGCCCAGAGAACCTGGTTGCTCCATCCCTGGAAGTGTCCAAGACCAGGCTGGATGGGGCTTGGAGCAACCTGGGCTAGTGGAAGGTGTTCCTGCCCATGGCAGGGGGTGGCACTGGATGAGCTTTAAGGTCCCTTCCAACTCAAGCCATGCTGAGGTGGCCAAGAAAGCTTGTATCAAAAATAATGTGGCCAGCAAGATGAGGGCAGTGCCCGTCCCCCTCTACTGGGCTTTAGGAAGTCACTCCTCGAATTCTGGATTCCATTTTGGGCCCCTCACAAGACAGACATTGAGCGTGTCTAGGAAAGGATCTGGAGCAGGAGTCCCATACAGTGCTGGGGGTGTTTAGCCTTGAGAAAAGGAGGTTTTTTAAAAAGCAGCACCTTGGTGTTGGTGCCCCTGCAGCTCCCCTGAGGCAGGTGGGTCTTAGTACTGGGATAAAGACATTTTCTCCCCTCATTCACAGCATAGGATGGAAGGTACTATCTACCTCTTACCTACTCAGTGGTAATTATACTAAGTGTAGACACATTGTACTGATTGTGTCATGGGCTATTTTATCATGTACCTCCCTAATAATCCCAGGTTTACTGAATTTATCTTCATAACATGCCTATGAAGAAAGGCTACAGATGGATTGAGCAAAAAAGTGAAGAAAAAACCAAACCCTCTGAATTTTGGGGAGATGTAGGGGCTTGATTTGGCAGAGCTTCTAACACCATACATCCTTCTGGGCCCAGCTCCCACTGACTTAAATTGCAGCTGCAAAGTTCAGCTCTTCTCTAAATCAGACCACACAATTTCAGGATATGCAGCCAGAAATAATCAGTAATATACAGACAGGAGCTGCAGGGAGAAGTGAACTGTCCAGCAGCACACAGTCCTCTGGGATAGAAAATGGAATAGTGTTGCTGAGGTATTGATAAATACAACACTTGTTGAATAAATAGTGGAAAAAATCTCTTAGGTAAATAAAATTCCTAAATTGCTTAGAACAGATGAGAGCTGGTTAACTTCTGTACTACCTGAATTAGACCTGGGTGATGTCCCTGGACAGCAGCTGATCTCAGCAGGATTTAACTATTTTTACTCCAAGATGCTCATGCCCTTCCTGAAATCCATTCTCCTCCTGTATATATGTACCATCCCTCTGTCACAGGTAAGGACAGGCAGATCCTCCACGCAATAACTTCATTCACTAAATAACTTTGATTAATTCCCAGAGTGTGTAATTCACCAGGAATGCTGAAAAGCTCACACCGTTAAACATCTGTTGAAAAGAGGATACATATGAACAAGGACAAATTAAGATTGCCCTACTAGCCTGACTTTGGACTTACAAAATAGAATGGTCTTTTGAGAATAGTTTCAGGTGTGTTCAGAGTTTCTAAAAACACAAATTATAAAGCTCACAGAAATTCCATCCTACTGAATGAGGTTTCTACCTGCAGAAGTCAGCAGTTCCTGTCAGTGTTCAGCAAACACATCTGTAACAAATTGAACTGTACAGTACATCTGTACTACACACTAAGGTACTGTACAGTACCATCCACTATAAAGCCCAATCACCACCAGAACGTAAAATATACATTTTGCAGTATGATTTTAAAATACAGAGCAAAAAAATTAAAGAGATGTGATTCACAAAATTCCATTCCAGGCTTTTAACGAATTATTATGGATTTGTCAGTGATGGTTGAAACTTCCCTCCTTTTTCTTCTTCTTCCTAACTGTCCTGCTTCCCATGCAGTTCCACCACGCTTCTGAGCAATGTAGAGGGAAAAGTCAAGCTCACGTCAGTCTGGCTGATGGAATGTAGCTCCTTTCCGTGCCCCACAGAGCTCCAGCAGGCTCAGAGCAAGGCTGTCTGTGGTACCCACTGCTGTGCAGAGCCTGTCCCCCACCAACCTCCCCATCGCCACCTCCTCACCTTTTGCTGAACTTTGGTCTGACTACTAATTTTTTTTTTGCCTAGGACACAAAAAGTACAGGAAAGTACGTATTACCTGAAGGGTGTAAGGATACAGAAAAAATGATACTTCTTACAAAAAAGAACTAAGGGCAACGAGGATGATTAGAGGGCTGGAGCCCCTCTCGTACACGGAAAGGCTGAGAGGTGGGATTGTTCAGCGCGGAGAAAAGGCGGCTTTGGGTTCAGCCCGGAGAAAAGGAGGGTTTTCTTAAAAGAACAGCCCCTCGGCGTTGGCGCCCCGGCGCTGCCCCGCGGCGGGCGGGCGGGCGGCCCGGGGGGCGGAGGG